AGGTATGTGTGGTTCTTCATTTCAGTAATTTTTGCCTGTTTTCTTGACTACTCTAATTTTCATTGCTTTTCATAAGTTCCAAAGTCCATGTCTGTCTGGAGGCTTGTATGTTCAGAGCCATTTCATGCTCTTTGGGTCAGGAATGATAGCCTACACCCAAGTATATTGGTGTTTTGGCGCAAAATCTGGGATAAGGAAATCTGCACTCAGAAAGCTTTGCTCTTTCTTGTTCTTTCATGCTCCAAACATGTCTTTTTTGTGAAATCAGAATTATAAAATCACAGAATAATTTAGGATGAAAAGATCCTCTGGAGGTCCACCTGGATGTCCTCTGATTCAGCTATCCAGCTCCCCACTTACAGTAGTACGGGTCTCAAGGTTAGATGAGGTTGTTCAGGACCTTTTCCAGTGTTCTTTGGGCAGCTTGTTCCAGAGACAACCACTTTTTGCACTGAATCATTTTTTTTCTAGTTGGAATTTCCCTTCCTGCACCTTGTGTCCATAATTTCTCATCTTTTTGCTGTACATACTGGGAAAATGCAGATCTGGCCCCTATATAATGGTTGAAGACAACACTTGCTCTCCTCCCTTTCAAGTCTAAACAAACCCAGTTTTCTCATCCTTTTCTCATATATCACATACTCCAACCATCTGGTCTTCCTCCACTAAACTTGCTGCATTTTGTCAATGTCTCTTTTGCACCAGGGAGCCACAAACTGGACACAGCATTCCAGATGTGTCTCACTAATGCCAAAATTCTCCATGAAGTAGCTTTAGCATGAGGTCATGGATGTGTACATATAGTCCACATGACACCTCTTCTTGCCTCTTTGTTTCCTGTGCCTCTGGATAGTCTGCTCAACCAACAATGACACCTTTCCTGCAGTTGCCATGCAGGTGTTACCTTCATTGCCTCATCCCATGCACATTTCTATCCTTTTCATTGCCAGAGATGCCAGTTCCCAGAGTTCCCAGTTTCCATTGCTTTGTAGGTAGCCTTGATCTGCTTAATAGCTATTTTTCCCTTTATGGTATTGTCTGCTTCACTTCTCATCAAAGACTTCAATTTGTCAGGGTAGACAAGCCAAGATAATTTTTTTTTTTTCCCTGGTAGCTCTTCTCTGCAGGTGTTCCACGTGAAGTTCCCCTTTCTTGAACACAGGACACTGTTATTATTTCCAATGAACTTTCATGCACATATGATATCAAGGCAGTAACACATCCCAACCTGTATGGGAATTACCTGGGATGCACTTATATCATGTTTGATTTTCCCTTGATTGTATGAAATGGTGGCTCAGAGTAGCTCAGAAGACACCTAATACACTCAAGTTGTTCTCATCCTCTGTTCGTATAAGCTTTTAGCTAATAGTGGTTATTCATATTAATTCCCTAGTGAATATCTTTGGACATGGAACTATTAAATTACATTCTGTTTTTGTTACTGTCATCTAGTTCATTCTGTCTGATTTCCTGATCATCCTCTGTATTGACTCTGCCACCTAGTGAATATCATCTTCACATTTTTAGCACATTGCTAGTATTTGTGCCAAGATAATTGATGCAAAAAAAAAGAGAAACATTAATCCAAAAATCAATCCATGATCAACTCCACCAGAATCCTTCTTCCAGCCTACTTCTCTCAGTGTTAACACTTCTCTTCACAAAACCCTCTGTCTATTTTAAATGCTTCTATTATCCCCTTCTGTGGGAAATTTCTGATTGCTAATGGACATGTGAGCAATCCAGTCTTGCTAGCAGGGCCTGAGCAAGCTGCAAGCTAAGCTGTTCAAGGACACTGCTGCAGCTGGAATGTGAGAAAGAAGGTAGCAAGATAAGCAGCTCCTGGCTGTGGGATGCAGAAGTTGAAGATAGTTGGGGTGGAGAACAATGATTGGGGCATTTTATGATTGATATGTTAATAACCAATTATATTGTTATAGTGTAAGGTGGGCTAGTAACAGTAGTTAACCAATCATAAGTGGATGCTTATAATAGGTGTGTATAAAAGAATCACTTTTGTAAATAATAAAGTGAGTCACGAGATATTCAAGAAGATGATAATGGCGTCGCCTCTTTGTACATGAACTCCTGCACCCTTCTGGCTCAGTTTAACCCCATTGCACCCTATATCAAATTATCTATGGAACTCCAGATATAGTATGTCTTCACCATTTCCTTTATGTAGCAAATCCATATTTCTTTCAAGGATTGACAAAAGATATTGGAAAAAGCTCAGAGTAGTGGAACACACTCCTCCATGTTATCACATTAATAAATAGTTTCCATGTTATTAGTTGTTCTTTTCAAAACCTGTTCTAAAGCCTTTTGTGCTCCAGAGATCAGCTGAACATTCTGCAGTTGCAAGGGTCAAAATCTCCCTCCTGTCTATTCCTCCTTTTATGAACATAACTACTATATTAATTTTTCTATATAAATAGGATATCTTCTCCAATTGATCCCACTGGCCCATGAGCCCACGAAGTCATGTGCAAGTTCTCTTGAATACCTGTGTGGATCCAGTTTCAGTGTGAAGGTCACTGAGATCTCTTTCATCTAAGCTGCAGAAAGTCTGTGTTCACGTTTTCATTCCAATCTTGCTTCTGTGCTCTGCATCACTGTGTCCAGCTCTGGACTCATTAGCACAGGAAAGCCTTGGACCTGTTGGAGTGGGTCCAGAGGAAGGCCACAGAATGCCCAGTGCTGGAGCAGTTCTATGAAGACAGGCTGAGAGAGCTGGGGTTGTTCAACCCAGAGAAGAGAAGGCTCCAGGGAGGCCTTATACCTGCCTTCCAGTACCTAAAGGGGGCTTATAAGAAAGATGCTGACAAACTTTTTAGATGAACCTGTTGTGATAGCAAAGGGGGCAATGATTTCATACAAAAAAAAAAAAAGGTAGATTTAGTCTAGATTTACAGTAGAAGAAATTTTTTGCAGTGAAGGTGGTGAAACAGTGGCACAGCTTGCCCTGTGCTGGTGGATGCCCCGCAAGGCTCTGACCAACCTGATTTAGTTGAAGATGTCCCTGCTTATTGCAGGGGGGTGGACTAGGTCATCTTTAAAGGTCTCTTCCATTATTCTTTCATAATGTTTTCATTAAGATCAGAGGCAAGGAAAGTATATAGTTCTTAGACTACACTGAAATTGTTTTCCATTTCTGTATGAGCCACCACCAGAAACACAAATAACAGCCTTGTACTCATTTTATTGATGAGACCCTTTTTCTGTTTATGTCTTCTCTCATGCTAACCCAGATTGAATTTTGGCAACATTTTGGCCAGTCACTTTTTGAAATTAGGGTAGCAAAATGTGTAAGAGAGAAAAATAGTCATACATTCTCCTCAACAAGTATTCATAACATTTTAAAATTTTTTTTCCCCTGCTTAGCCTTGATTGCTCTTCTGAGAGAAGGAGAGAGCCTGGAGGATCTGATGAAGTTGTCTCCTGAGGACCTGCTGCTGAGGTGGGCAAACTATCACCTGGAAAATGCAGGATGCAACAAAGTCAACAACTTCAGCTCAGACATCAAGGTATGAGAAACACTGACCAAGAATAGCCAACCAGCAACCCCACACCCAAATTCCTGTCCTCCACAAATGGATTGAGCACTGAAACATTCCAAGCAGTTGAGACTCCTCTGTCGAACACATGCAGCTGGGTACATAAAATGCTTCTAGTGGGGTTTACCTTTCCACTCAGTAGTATTTCTCCTCTTCTTGACCTCCTCTGACACATCACTGCCAGCCCCAGCACACTAAATGCCTGGAAAAGGAAGGCTTCTGGGTCTGGACTCTACCACTGTATTTCCAGTTCCTTGCCTCTATTGGTCTCCTCCTTCATAAATGTCCTTAAATGACTCTTGATCTCACTTTGGTTTGGAAAAGCCTGCACCTTACTCAAACGTGTAACTAGATGTAGAGGAAGGGGATGGGGGTCTTCCAATTCCCTCACTTGATCTTTGCTTCAGTACTCCACCTGGGTTATGTGCTTCTCTGTCCCAACCTTTGCTATAGCCCTGCATGCAACTTACCTGCAAGTTTTAATTCAGTAGGACTATTTGGACCAATATAACTAGTTTGGGAGGCACTTGCAAGGATGGATCTCTAGTCCCTGCAGCATATTTCACATACTTGGGACTTCATGGGCTCGTGGGTGCAGATTTCAGCAAAGCTTTCTCTGTAGGACCTTCATTCTTCTCAGATATGTGTATTTGAACCTCAGTGGTACACACTTATGAATTTCAGACACTAAAGCCCAGTGCAAGGTCTGGCCAGCATCCCAGGGCAGCAGTGGGTATATCAGGGAGGGTGTCTGAGCTGGCTTCCAGGAAAGCCAAGGCCTGGCCAGCACACCAACCTCACAAGCCACATCCCAACCCACCCACTCCCAGCACAGCATGGGAAAAGCCCCGGTCCAGAGATGCTTGGTTGTAGGCTTCACTGGGGACTGAAGCACCAGAAGTCATTTACCATGACTTACTTGACATACAGAAAGAAAACACCAGGGAAGGCAACAGCGGGGGCCAAGAGTCATGTTTGACAATGCAATTTTTATTGTTACAGATTTTTGGTTCCCTGGGTGGAGGTGACTGGAGAATACCCATGGAAAGGGATGGGAATAGATTCTTTCCCATCTTTATGTAGGCTGGCTGAGAGGACTGTAGTGCAACTGATTAAATCCTATCTACAATTGAAAGCTAAATTGCACTTATGGTATTTACAGTTGGAAAATAAGGTACACATTTACAAAACTTTAGTGTTTACAGCCATCTGATTAAGTCTGTCTCCTCACCTCAATAACCACTTTCTAGATACAGTAGGTAATAATGAAGATGTAAAATATTTAAAATAATTCAAATAATCTGCTTTATATTTTGAAGAGCATTAGTTGGGTTAGTTAGTCAAGTCCCTAGACACTAACACGTAGCTTTTTTTTCAGTTCTTTGAGCTATTTTTGAGGTGAATTAATATTTTTTACACATGGAAGCAACATTACATTTCACAAAAGATTCAAGACACAACATGTTAAATTCCTGTCTTGTTCCTGCCCTTTTGCCTGAAAAATGCTGATACTGTTGTCGGTTTTAACTTTTGTCCTTGAAAACTATGCTTTCTCTTCCATAACTGTTCCAGCATTGCTTTGAAATCCGCTTTAAACATCTGCTTTCTCCTTCTACATTTTCTTTTATTAAATGCTCGGCAGCCTGACTTCTACAGTATTATAAAGGTATGCATTTTCTTATCTCTAATTTTATGTTCAGATTAAGTAAATTCTAATTTCTATTTGTTGTCGCTATCCTTTTTGTAAGTGCAACTCACAGCATTTTGTCGTGTGTTGTGTTCTGCAGCACACATATATTGCCTTAGGGAAGAAATAGATCTGGCGAATACAGCATAAAGTAGGAACTGCTAAGTGCTTCCAGCTTAATTAATTTAATTATGTAGCCCAATGATCGAGGTAATAAAAACGAAGCATGCAGACACATTGTTCAAGGAAGCACTGGCATGCAAAGCCTGAGCTTTAGATGTAATTTTTCTTCCCTTTAATTTCCCTGTCTGTCACAGGACTCAAGAGCTTATTACCATTTGCTGAACCAAGTGGCCCCCAAGGGAGATGAAGAAGGCATTCCAGCTATTACTATTGACATGTCAGGATTAAGGGTAAGATGAGATAGGTTTAGAGTAAACGCTGTTATTTTCTGTCTGTTACTTGCATTGCTGGCCAACACAGAGTTGCTCTGGATGTCAGAACAAGCAAACTCTTTTTAGCACTGCAACATGATCTTATATTCAGAAATCAAAGCATTCAAACAATAAAATTGTGTTTTGACTTTTGTGATATATTCTCTCTGAAACTTCAGCAACCATTCAACCAAACTGATAAACTACTAGCATGTAGCAAGTGTATTTAAATACTTTTATTTGGGAATTTCATCAAACTGTCACCTTTTGTATAGACTATGACTGTAAAAGCAATATGGTGACATGGCTGAATTACAGGTAAAGCCCATTTGAAAACACAGACTTGCCATTAGTAAAGGTGTGAAAGGGAGTAGCTATAAATGGAACAGGGACCTGCTTTAACAGCTCCGCACCCAGGTCCACACGTGAAGACCCCAGGTGGGTGTTACACGCAGTACTAGTGGTGGGGTGAGGCTGATGGCCCCACTTTCTGCTGACACAGGAGAAGGATGATGTCCAGAGAGCGGAATGCATGCTGCAGCAGGCGGGGGGGGCTGGGCCTGCCGGCAGTTCGTCACAGCCACCGATGTCGTCCGGGGGAACCCGAAGCTGAATCTGGCCTTCATCGCCAACTTGTTCAACAAATACCCCGCCCTGCATAAGCCAGAAAACCAGGACATCGACTGGAGCTCCATTGAAGGTCAGGAAAACGCAAATATTAGATGTTTCTGGCCATCCATGCCACAGTATCCCCATCTCTGAGTTGGTGATACATCAACCTAACCTTATGTCCTTCAGACATATATTCACTGCACTGTTAGCACAGGCAGCTTTGAGAAACAGAGGATGCCCTTTACCTGCATGTAGCTTCTCATAATCTGGGGGTCTGTTCTGTGGATAGCAGATGTTTAAAGACGAAAGTGTTTGTGGGGTGTCTCAACCAGTATGAACTATTGAACGTGTTTGTTAGTTGAAATTAGAATTGATCTGGCATTCCTTTATTTGAGAATATAATTTAAAAATCAGATCTTGCATAAACATGATGCCTGCATGCTCTGGATTGGGGTCAGGACCACAGTTGTATGGATTGTTTGCTGAGCTTCAGATCCTTCTTTCTCAAACTCATAGTGAAACTGTTCATGCTGGGGCACAGGCTGTTCTTGAGTTCTTGAAGGCATTTAAAATCTGCCTAAACACTATAATATATAGGGAATAAAGAAATATTGCATGCCACACCATGCTTTCTTATTTCACATGCCAACTAGTGTCTCCTTCTGTTTATGGTTAAGTGCGCAGTAAATTCAGAATTATGGTTTCTTCATAAGACACTTACTTTACTAGAGAGTTGTGTTTTGCAGCCCTGTTGACTGATGTATCTGTTGTTTTAGGTGAGACAAGGGAAGAGAGGACGTTTAGGAACTGGATGAACTCCCTGGGTGTTAATCCACGTGTAAATCACTTATACAGGTAAGACAAGGTATTACACTTCCTTCAGATGATAAATACAGCCACAAATTGTTCACAAAAAAATAAAAACTTTTGGAACCTGTAAGAATATATGCTGCTTTTTGTTTTGTAGTAAACTAAGTTTATCTCTGCTAATAGTTGTGTGCCTTTCCTTTCTTTGGACAACTATATATATCTTTTTTATTGTTTTCAGTGACCTGTCAGATGCCTTGGTTATCTTCCAACTCTATGAAAAGATCAAAGTGCCAGTAGACTGGAACAGAGTGAACAAACCACCATATCCTAAACTAGGTGGCAACATGAAGAAGGTATAAAAAGCTGGAATAGCTTCAGTAGGGATTCCTTAGCCTCAGAGAAAGTCTATATAATTTCAAACAGTGATGTGGGTACTCGTGTTGCTCACCAGTCCCAAGTACTCCAAGTATTAAATGTTTTTTGTCTAGTCAGTGAATAATTTTTCATCCTGGAAAGAAACATACATTTGACTCACTTGCTTTGTTGGCAGGTAAAAAATATTTGTAAAGTAAAAAGATTTGACTACTTTTGCATCAGTATTTAAACACTGTATTTGCAGACCACTTTTGCTGCTGTTTTAGGCACCAATTATAATGCATCTGCACAGTGAGACATGGGGCACTAGCTTGATTGCAGTTGTCTGGATCACTGCTCTCCACATCAAATGAAGACAGTGATGATAAGCATTCTTGACCAGAGGCCTCAAGAACCAATCACACAGTTACTTCTAAATACAAAGCCTTCTCCCAACTATCTGGATGAGTAATTCCATCCAGTTAGATCAGAGTGATCAACTGACCTAAAATATTGACTGGGATACAAGTCCTTTGTCTCAGTGCAATGCCATGGTGCTGGAGGTATCCATGAGCCACAAATTTTTATTTTGCAGGGTAATCTGCTTTTCAGGCCATGATGATGAAGCCTAACATTTCCTTCTGTGTTAATTGTTTACCATGGTATTTTTGGAGATGGAACTGGCTGTCGGTGATCTAAGATATGTATCATCACAGAACCCCAAAGTTTCTGTTTGCCCGGGAGAATATAGAGTAACAGTGTCTTGTCTTCTTTTTTTTTCCCTATATTTTTGAACCACATTAATTGACCCTGCCATTAACAGCTTGAAAACTGCAACTATGCAGTGGAACTGGGAAAGAATGAAGCCAAATTTTCCCTTGTTGGAATTGCTGGGCAAGATCTGAACGAAGGAAACCGCACTCTCACGCTGGCCTTAATCTGGCAGCTGATGAGGAGGTATGTCAGTCAGACACAAACTTCACAGTGTTTTGGTATACTCAGTTTGCTTTGTAATAGTTTCCTGATACTATCGCTGAGAAGGCTCTACAGGCTACAGCTTTTCACTCCTCTGCACTCATATGCAAAGACAGAGTGACCTTTTGCTCACTCCTAGTTCGGGATGTGATCAAGAAGCACATTATCTTGTGGGCAAGGCCATTACAATCAGCTCATGCAGAAGATTATTATCATCACTATCCGTATAGCATGAATAAGTGTGCATTGCTTGGAAGAGAGGAAAGGAAGTTGAAAGGTCTCTGTATCAAGGAATGGGCAGAATGTACTGGAAACAAGGAATTGATGCATAAGTTTTGTAACCTGCTATTTGAAATAGATATAACTCAGTAGCTCTCTCCATTTTAATATAATTCTCTTTATGTGTATGTTTGTATGTTTAAGAGCTGCATAACTGCATGTCAAGAGTCCCAGTAGTTAGGAACTGAATACAGACTAAAGTCAGACTATAGAGCAAGATACAGGTTTATCAGGCAGGTAATTAAACTAGGGATGTGGTGACTACTTATCATCAGTTTGGGATGTCCTTCCAAGGTGTATGCTGACAAATAAGAAAAATATTCCAGGCTTGTGTGTATGCAGAAGGTCAGTCTCAGGTGAACAGAATGATTCCTTTCTGGCCTTGAAGTCAGTGATTATTTTTTAAGCACTATGAGAACAAGTCAAGTACACTGCAATCCACTAAGAGGGACCTGTTAGGAATTTTGTGTATCAAAACCTTATAAGAGTTCAAAAAGAGTGAATAAGGAATTGTGGTTGAATTAGACTCATTAGATTAATTGTTGTGTTATAATATAAATCATATACACCGTGAGCCTGTGGGAGGCAGGGGTATGTCAGGTCGAAGAGGGTGGTTGGAGTAATCCCACTCAAGCTGCACATGTACAAGACTGTTGTGAGGTTACAGTAGACTTCAAGCAAATGCAGGTATCCTGGCTTCCCTCTTAAGGTACACTCTGAATATCCTTGAAGACATTGGTGGTGGAGAGAAGGTCAATGATGAAATCATTGTCAACTGGGTCAATGAAACACTGACTGCAGCTGGGAAGGATTCAACCATCTCTAGTTTCAAGGTATAATTTTTTGTTAGAAGTCTCTGCTTAGGAATCTCTTGTTCAGTGTGTTTGTGTGTATGTTATATACGTTGCCTGTATATAGAAGTAGACATATATATGCACATACACATGCACTCCACATTATGATATAACTAACTACATAGTTTGATTATTTTTCATTCCCTTTTAAAGGCATGTTCAGATACACAGAGTTTATTCAAGGGAGTTTATTATGAAAAGGCAATAGAAACATGACATGGACATAACAGGAAGCATCTTGAATTCCAGTTTGATGGAGGAAATCAAAGTATGGAGCCAGGAATGATGACTGGAATTAAGCAAGAAACACTGTGCTGTTGGTTATGAAACACTGGCAATTACAAATGACAGTATTAAAATGAACAATAACAATATGTTTCTAATCTGGTAGTACCATTCAGGGGTACCTTGCCTTATTTGGCAAGATGCCATATAAACACAGAGATGGATCAATTCTAGAGAGCTTCCAATTCGGCTAAAGTATCTACAATGCTTCCCAAGCTAGGGAACACTCAGTGGATATAAATCAGCAGTTTGCACCAGGCAAAAACAGATTAATCAAACTTCATATAACAAGCTCAGGAATCACACAGCTGGTCCCCCTCTCACCTCCCATCAATAGATGTGTATCAGTGTCATCTCCCCACATGAAGCCAATTCACTATCCCTACATCCCATCTTTTGCTTTAATGACATTGTATTCTATGACAATGTGACCTGCTTAGTGGATGAGGGGAAAGGCTGTGAATGTTGTCTACCTGGACTTTAATAAAGCCTTTGACAGGGTTTTCCACAACATTCTCCTGGAGAAACTGGCTGCTCATGGATTGGATGGGTGCACTGTTCGCTAGGTAAAAAACTGGCTGGATAGCCAGGTCCAGAGAGTGGTAGTAAATGGAATTACATCCAGCTGGTGTCTGGTCACTAGTGGGGTTCTCCAAGGCTCGGTTGTAGGGTTGGTCCTGTTTAACATCTTTATTATTGGTCTGGACAAGGTGAACAAGTGCAGTTTGCAGAGGACACCAAGTTGGGTGGGAGTGCTGATCAACTGAAGGGCAGGAAGGCTCTGCAGAGGGATCTGGACAGGCTGGATTGATGGGTTAAGACCAATTGTATAAGATTTAACAGGGTGAAGTGCCAAGTCCTGCCCTTGGGTCACAACAACATCATGCAGTGCTAAAGGCTGGGGGAAGAGTGGCTGGAAAGGTCCAGTGGAAAAGAACCTGGAGGTGCTGGTCGACAGCAGGCAGAATATGAGCCAGCAGTGTGCCCAGGTGGCCAAGAAGGCCAGTGGCATCCTGGCTTGCTTCAAAAGTGCCAGTAAAGTGGTTGAGTCACCATCCCTGAAGGATTTAAAAGATGTGTAGATGTGGTGCTTAGGGACATGATTTAGTGGTGGACTTGTAAGTGCTAGGTTAAAGGTGGACTTGATCTTAAAAGATTTTTTCAACCTAAGCAATTCTATGATGCCTCATCTATTGGGTAAAAAAAGATCCTTAAAAATGTTCTTGTCTGCCTTAGATAAAAAATTATTCTAAGCAGCCCTTTGTGAAGGTCTAAATGGTATTTGACTGAACTGTCCATTGCTCATGAATCTAGACTCTGGCTTTGTGGGAGATCTGTCATCCTGTTCTTGCATCTAATTTTATTTTTCATCCATGCAGGATAGCAAAATCAGCACCAGCATGCCAGTTCTGGATCTCATTGATGCCATTCAACCAGGATCAATCAAGTATGACCTCTTGAAAACAGAGGATCTGAATGATGAGGAGAAACTAAATAATGCTAAGTAAGTTCATGCCAAATGACACTCAACATGCGTTACCTGCTCAGGCTTACCTAATTCTGTCTTTGAAAACTGCTCTGCTGTCATTCTCATCTGGCACAACCTCAGTTGAGAAATACCACAAGAGATAGAAGCATAAAGGCTAGGAATTAGGCAGTAAAGAGACTATTAATGGAAATGAAGTGTGTAATGTTGTAATTCCTGCTTTATAAATCCCTTGAAGGGATCAAAATCACTTGGCTTCACAAGCTCCTATTCTCTCGTATTAAATTTAAAATTCTTTCAGAGATCAGGGAACAATGCCAACAACGTGAGCCATGGAAAACAGTGATTAGAGGTCATGATGACTCTTTGGTCACATAAAGGTGGAACAAGGGTGTATTTAAGAGAGAAAGGGAAGAACAGAAGTCATGCCTGAAAAACTGGTTCTGTGGATGTGGATATTGATTTTTCTTTTTTACTTGAACGCATATGATTTCCTAGCTGAGAGTCAATTCTTGGGGCAGTTTCCTTTCAGAGTTATACATTGTCAGTAACTTCTCCTTTGCTATGTGGTAACTACAAAAGAGAAAAGGATGATTATAAGGCAATCAGAGCTGCCATCATTTTTTAAATTACTTTCCCCACTGTTCTTTTTCTCTTCCATTTCCTACCATCTGTTCTCTTTCTTTCATTGCAATCCTATGTGTGCTTTTCTCTGTACTTATTTTCTCCAGTCCTCCGCTGTTCTTTTCCTCATTTCCCACCCCCAACCGTCCCGCTCCCCTGATGTTTTTCTGCATTTTTGGGAGAATGTCATAAATGTATGTGCTCTGCAGTGAGAAGAACATGGGGTTTTCTAGCTTTCTTAATGAAAAAATAGAGTGAAGAGACAAACCCACTGGAGAACAGCCAGTAGCTGTGCAACAGTGCACTCTGAGCAGGGAGCTGGGAATGTCAACTTGCACATTTTGGGTATGACTGAAACAAAAGTCCCCGAATGTTGATTTCCAACAACATTGATCTCAGCTGACTCAGAGATCAAGGGGGAGTAAGACTGGAATGGCTGGTTGTGAGGATAATCTTTCAGGTGATCAGAGACTAAATGTTTCATACCAGAATTTGACCTGCAGTCTCCCATCCTGCAGGTAATCAGTGCTCTAACCATCAGGGAATGCACTCTATCTTTTACTAGAAAATGTAGTTCTTTATGAACCTGTTTAACTTTGGTGAATCAGTAAGAAAGTTCCTAACTCACTCTGGTATTGATCATGTAAAGCACCTCTTGACAAAGGGAAAATTGATGCTACTGCACTAATTTATGTCCTTTTTTCCCCCCTTTTTTTTCCCCCTACAATGCAGATACGCCATCTCTATGGCAAGAAAAATTGGAGCAAGAGTCTATGCCCTTCCAGAAGACCTGGTTGAAGTAAAACCCAAAATGGTCATGACAGTGTTCGCTTGCCTTATGGGAAAAGGAATGAAGAAGGTTTAAAGCACAAAAGACTTGTACTGAAGCCTGTTATTCACCCTTTAGATTCCCTCAAACTGGATGCTCTTCTCTGTATCAAAGAAATATGCAGGGTGCTCATGCTTTTAAGGCATGAATGTTACACATGGTCCCAGATCATACAGAAGTCATGTATTCATGTGTATCCAGGAAATACTTTGTTTTGAATGGTAATATGTGCTTGATTTCTTTGCCTTATTTTCCACTTTGCTAGACATAAGTTTTCGATACTGAGGCCTAAACATATCCTTTTATTAATGGGTACCAGGGTTTTCTGTCAGAGGTCACCTGGAGACCTTTATCTTGGGAGGTACAGACAGCTTTTGGGACTATGAAATGTTATACACTGCTTCTGCCTGAAAATGTCGTCATGCTTTTTGTAGCATTTCTGCCATACTTGCCTTCACTTTGCACCTGGGATAACAAAAGGAGTTTCCTTAAGCCAATGCAAGTATTAGTGACTATATTTTTGGAATGGTAGGATCCTCTTAGGAAATTCTTCTGGAAAGAGAGGTGTTTGTTGACTGTGATGTGTTGCTGGTTTGTGAACTGAGCAATACTTTTCCCTGCAAGTTATGCCTCTGTCTTCAGTGACATTACTCACAGGTAACATTACTGCTCACTGAAAAAAACATACTGCAGCCTGGTCCTCCAAGAACACCCAGACTCTGGAACCTTTGCAAGAAATAATCTCCAGAGGATAATTCATTTTTTGTCATATTAATGGAAAAACATAAATAGAATGCAAAGCATGATTAAAGTGAAAACCATGATACAGAAACTAAGAGAATGTACTCAGTTAGTAGCAATACAATAAGATGTGAACCAAAGGGATGCAGATGACATATTTATGTAGTCAATCAAAATTAAACTGTTAACTTCACAGACTTGCACTCAAGGGGCCGTGGCTCTGATTCAGGAGAGCATTTAAATCTGTGCTTGCATATAAAACACATACTAAAATGCTCCCCTGAACCCAGGCTAGGATCCTCAATGGAGCTAAATCAGCTTAGATTTGCAGGTAACAAGGCACTGTCAATTTGCCTCAGTTGAGGACCCAGCCCTGCCTGTGGATAGTCAGTGGGATATATTTGCACTGAATCTCTTCCTTGGCATGAGACATTTACTGTTTTGGCCTTTACGTGGATTTTACTGTGGTGAAATGCAGAAGGAGGGAATTTTGCCTTAATGCAATCCCATTGACACAGTCTCCGTTCTGCCCCTCCCTCTCCTTCAGCCCTTCAGAACTGCCTTAATAAAGAACCAATATTCAATGACATGAGAAGTCTCTCCCAATAAAATGTTCTAGAAAGCCAAATGTGTAGTCTTTGCTTTCAGTAGTGTGTGTGCTAATGGAGAAGTGTGTATCATAGAGCTGAAATAGGGACAGATTTTAAAAATAATATGTGGATTCACTAAGGATGTGTCTTCTGTATTGTTATTGAAACCACAGATTACAGAAAGTGGGAAGAATTCTTTCCTAGGTCATTCCTAAGTATGCCACTCTGAGACACTGCCAAAGATGGGACACTGTGAGGCTGGACCCGCAGTATGATTTTCCCCATTTGGTGCAATGCCCATCATTCTCTTCCCTTGCTCATGTACCCATAAGTGTTGCTTCTTTAGGCATTCTGTAATGCAAATATTCTGCTTTGTTTATGTCGTAATGGCTAGATCCTGAACCTGATCAGGATCCTCTCATTAACCTATGTATTTAATACAGGGTGGGAAAGGTACAGCATCCTAAGGCCCATTCTGTCTCGTCACAGTATTTCCCAGTGCTGGCAGAGGAGGAGAATATCTCAAGTATTATACGATGAAGACAACACACCAGTTTATTGCCCAGCAAGGGGGAATTACTAGACCATGGCCCCTATGCATCTGCTCCTCTTTTTGAGTGTAGGACCCCCTGTTGCCAGAGAAGAGAGGTTGCACCAAAAAGGCAGTGCTCTCCCCTTATGACTGACTTGTGAGTCCTGCAGAGGTGAATCAGAGAGACGAAACTGCAGGCAGAAACTGTGACTGCAGCACTTCTCTCGGGTGGGATGACAATGTGTTTTGTGTGTGTTGCATGTACGTATGTTCACAAATTGCAGGGGACATAGATAGATGGCTTAGATCTGAGAGGGACAGGTAATCCTGCCTGAAAGACAGCCCTGCTCTGGGTAGTCTGTCTCAGCGAGATGCCCTCACCCCAGACTCGGGGGCAGTCATGCCAGATGAAAAATGGTAGCACTACCAGGGTCAGAGGGGTGGCTTTTCTCCTGGTCCCAAATGAATGCTGGCACTTGCTATTCCCAGAAAGCAGAAGGGATTTTCAGGCACTGCCCATACACCAGCCCTCAGCTACTCAGGTTTTTTGCACAGGAGTAGGATGTTTAGAGGAGCCTGATGAGAGAGACAGGGCGAGGAGGCTTTAACACATCATGTGTTTCCACTAGGCAAGATGTAGGACTTCAGGGAGCCTGGAGATTGAAACCTGCCTCTACCTCAGGCTCTGGAGAGGGGCCAGGTGATGTATGCAGTTATTTGAAGCATGTTTTCCGAAAGGAGCTGCTTTTCCTCCTCCTCAGCATCCCAGCACTGGAGCCACACAGCCTTCCCCGTTGCTCATCCCCTGCCCCCAAGCTGCTTTTTATCTCCGAGCCCCAAGCTGCTGCATGCAGCGGTGAGAGCCTGGACCAGCCCCGGCCAGCGCAGGCGGAGAGCTAACCACGAGATGGCACTCGCTCCGGCTAGAGTTCTAGACTGGCATGCGTGAGCTGCGACAGTGCTCTCCGCTGGGAAACGGAAAAAAAATTGGAAATTTAACCCTAGGCAAAACACAAACACCTGCCAGTGTGTGAAAGGGAGTAAGTACTGCTGGCAGGGATACTATAGGAAATGCCTTACCAGATCTTCATCCCTATCTCTGGAATCTCCCTTGAAAAATGAATCTGTCATGGCCCTGGAGGTGTGGGAATAGCTGCATTCTGACACAGGAGTATAAATATTTTCACTTTTCAGTGTGTCTCTGTTTAATTGGGTATTCTTGTTTATTTCATGGACTTGAGGTTTTGCTTCCATGAATTGGTAATAGCAGCCTGTAATAAAGCTCCCAACAGATGCCAAAGGGGTTAAACCCATGACAAACATCATCAAAAAAATCTCACTAGGATCTGGAATTTTTTGCTGTTGCTTTTCTCCAACTTTTCCCATCACTCTTAGAGAAAGCAGCTGTCTTTGGGATTCACTCCCAAATCAAGCTGGCTTTGTAAGCGTTTCCATTATTGATTTTCATTGCACAATTAATCATAATTTTCAATGCTTCAAAAAGGCTTAGACATTCATACGAATAAAAATAAAGCATCAGCAGTTAGACTAACTAGGAGAAAAAAAACCATGAGGGCAATCAATCCACATGCTTCAGGGTACAGTCTGATCACCAGATGGACTCAGAAGGAAATATCCCCCCATAGTGTAGTAAAGCATAATTAGGTGTATGATGAGGATTTTACACCTTCTAGTAAATCATCTATCCTAGCTAGAAATCATCTGTTCTGGCCTTAGAAAGGGGACAGCAAGCAGTATGGCTGGCTGCTGTGCTCTTGCACAGATAAAGTTCTATTTCTACTTCTTCCAGAGTTATAAATGAACCAAAACCCCATCCCAGCATCACTCATCCTTCTGAATGCAGCTTAATTATGTTGTGAGCCTAATCACAAACTTCAGGTCTTGGTGTCCATTGCTACCTAACTGAGCAGCAGCTTTGATCTGATTTCTGCTTGGAAAATAGGACCCTGGTTGCAAAAAGCACATGATCAGCACGGATCCTACAGCAAGTACTCACCTACTGCTGCTTTCAGCTTGATGGAGAAATGGATCCTGGTGCCTCTGATCTTGCAAACCCATGTGCTCAGTTGCTAATGTGACTCCAGCTCTCTATCTTCTGATGCTTCTGGCAGCCTTCTCTACCATCTGAAGTACAGACTTGTCAAGAATTTTGGAGCATTTTCCTTCAGGCTTCTCAGCCACTTAAGTTCAGTGCTTTTCAGGCAAGCAGACAAGGCAAGCAGCAGAAAGTAGCACCACTAAGTGCCTGACACTCCTTAACTGCTGTGTGGTGAGCACCATAGGAGCTAAAATTTCTCCACAAACCTAAGAAGCTGTTCATTAAGAAGGATACGAAACAGAGGAGCTCTGTGTACTGGTAAGGTGACATCTGTGGACTTTGTACAGCTTGGTGTGGGAAAACACTGAATTAGGACCAACATCACTTCATAATGTTCTCTTTTGTTTTTTAAATTTTTATGTCAATCAGTATTCAGTGGAGGTTCTCTTCTACCACCAGGAAAACTGTGTCATTCCTCTGACAATTCATTTGCTGCTCAGAACATAACACAGAGCTCTGAGACTTAGTTCTCATTAAGTCAAATGGCTTTATTTTTAAAGCATTGCTTTTCACTGCATCTTATTTACTTTTGGTGCTCTGATAACTTTTTAAAGGCAGCAGTGCTTTATGGGAAATGTAATTTGTTCCCGGTATGCAAACTACTGTTACTATTACAGATCAATGACAAATTGTCCAAAGCTGAAAAAGGCCAGAATTCACACAGATCATGTGCTCCCAGCTAATGCTATGTCTGAAATCTGTGAAAAGAGCAGAAAGCTACATAAATGATCATGCACAGATGCTCTGAACTGCCTCAGGACAGGCACTCGTTTAGTGCATTTGTTAAGGACTAAAGGAATACAGCAATGAGTATCTGTAAGTGCACAAAGCATGGAGAGTAACCCCACACATCCACTTGGAATATCTCCTAGCAGGTGATTGACATCCATGGTGCTGCTTTGATTCATGCAAGCAGAAAAGCAATGTCCCATCTCCAGGCATCTCTGGCAGCCTATGAAGTTGTCCTCATTCTTCACTGCAGTTAAGCAAACCAAACAGTTCAGAGCATGTGTTGGTTTGTCATTGAGGTGAGGAGATAACTTCTGACCAACCCCTCAGCAATGTACCCTCCTTTGATTTTGCAGCCCTGGAGCATAACACCCTGTACATCTGAGAGGTGATGGATGTCTTAGGAGCATCAGCCTCCCCGTGCCTTGTCCTCAAGATCTGTGCTTGCTCAGGTGCTAGTGAAACCATCCTGTGGTTAAATAATGTGCCTGTGAAAGGCTCAATTGGCAGTTAAAAGTAAGAGAGATCCCTGAGGACAGATGCAGGCCCTGCCCTCCAGCCCTACTTCCACTGCTTGCTGCACTGTCAAATCACACTTGACTTTAGAGAAATGTGGCCACAGTGTCCCATAATACTTCCCAGACCCAC